GTAGGAAACTATAGGAAAATCATTCACATCAAAAGAACCAGTGTAGAGATGAGAGAAAAAATGAAAAGGGTCCAGCTTTTTCTAACCAGTTCAAATTTTTTGTAATGTAATCATAATAAAAGTATTAAAGAAATCTTATGCAGCTATATCTTACCTGTTGATGTTCCTTTAATTCCTTCTATACTGAAAGAGCATTCGGAGCAACTTTTAGTATTTATTGTCGCTTCCCCTTTGGCCTATTGGAGCCCTCACAAGCCCATCGTTCCCTCTGTATGCCGCTGACTCTGACTGGCAGGCTCCCTGCAACCCTTTCCATCAAAGCTAAAGCACTGGCAAATCACTAGAGCACTGTTGTGGTTTAATCCCCCCTACCCCTCCTCCCGATATTAGAATGCTGAAAACACATCTGTTGCTTTATGTCTCTGACTGAAGATGCGTAAAGAGCAACAGTTTCCTTTTCTCATATTACTACTGCACTGTTAAAAACTTCACAAATTTAAATTGAACAATTTAAGGCTTCTCCTTGAGTAGGAAAAGTGACTGTTCATTAGACTGATGAGACATGGCAGTGGCGGTTGTGTTTATCCATTAGACTGAGGAGATTGTAGTGCATCAGGCCCTTCACTAATCCCTTCAGCATAGCCGTCCTCGCAGTCAATCGTCAATCTACCAACAACTCTCACCGAGAGTGGATATTCCATCCTCCCCATCCCTTGGCTTACCATTTCACTGTACAAAACACATACCCATATTTAGAGCACTGTGAGCTGTAATCCCCAGGCATGCTGCCACGTGTTTGCACTGTTACATCTGGAGATCTTAATGGCTCCAATTCAACATGCAACAGCCTCCTCTGATAGTTAACTTAGAAACTGCAGGGGTGAAACAAAATGGAAAAAAACAACAACACAGCAACAAAACAAACAAACAAACAAACAAAAAACAAAAATATTGTGAACTTGCAGCATTTATTGCAGGGCTGTTGTACTGGGTTGCATTATATTCCCCCTGTAGTGTGCAGAGTGTCTTGTTGACATGGATTTTGCCGTCAGTGAGGTCAGCTAATTAACAAGACCTTCTCTCCCCCGTTGAGGGCATTCCTCTAGATTTATAGTTGTTTTGTTTTTGTTTTATGTGACTCAAGACCATGATCACATGGTGTAAAACAGTACATACGACAATGATAATGAAATGATAGCACATGGCGGGCCTAAAGTACAACAAATGTTACTTAAACAAAGGAAGAACAATCTTAAAACATAGATAGGTGGTTTAAGTAATACTTAAACAAGAACAAAAAATGATACTTGTTTCCCACACAAATGTTGCAGATCTCCTGGTTTCTATCCAGCCCTTTGTATCTTCCAATTACCTAAAGAATGATGTTGTTCACCCTAAAAGTATAAATACAGTATCTGTGCCTGTACTTTTGGTTTTGGTTTTCATACAACAGATACTTTTTCCAGTTTAAGCTCTTGTTTTCACATGATGTCATTCTGCTGAGCTTACTTTGTGAGATGAAAGAGGCTGAAAGATCAGTTCATACACATGATTGAGTATAAACAGCTTAGACTATTGCAGGTTGGCATTTTAACTTTTAGGGAGTACTTCAGAAATCTGAGGCGTAGTTTTTCCAACATATGTATTTCAAACCCCCACACTTGTTGGTGTAATTAACTTGCCAAAAAGATCTAGTGTGATATTTACAGGTAAATCAAATTTACTACATTTACAAAAAATGGCAAACGTTGCACAGGAGACTTGCTTATGCAGCTCCTCAATGGCAACCTTAAATGGATCATTATAATTCATTATAACAAGCAATGGACATTCTATAGACTCGCCACTGCATACAAACTTTAGTTAATATACAAAAATATACGAACTCATCATGATTGTTGATCTTAAAGAAGTCATCTGAATAAAAGGATACGTAGAGTGTACACTTTTTCCTACTCTCAAGACCAAAAGTTTCTATCATCCGCATACATCAGTACCAAAATATGGATGTAACTACTGTCTGTTAGTGTTACGGTGTCATCAAAATAATTGTTATTCTGTAGTAGATAGTCCTCTGGGTCATTGATAAATAATGTAAATGACAATGATGATGCATTATCTCTGCCTAACCCCTGCTTGACATGCCAAAAAAAATGTTTTAATACTATGAACAAATACACATGATTTGATGTTTTTGTACATATTTACTATATCCAAGAATGTTCAAGGACCACTGTATATATACACTACAGTACAATACAGTACAACACAACTCAGCCTTCCTAGCATGCACGAGAAACTACAGTGGCCACAAAAGTCACAAAGAATGTGAAAGAAACTTGAGGTCCCTATCTACAGCCAGCACTTGTCTGTTCATGGGCTACTGTAAAAACACCTCCTTGGAGGAGGACACCCTTCCTTTCTCTGTAGATAAAAACAGCTCAGTCTAGGGTAACAAAAACCCAATTCTTATTTTCAGGTGATTATACACGCATGCAGACATAGCAATATATATTTAATGTCTGTCAATAGATCCTTCTATGTGTTACACACTGGACCTTTAATACCTGCTTTTGATCCAAGTTAAAGACTTTTTTCTCAACTGTACAATATTCTCTTTATTTATCTTGGGTGTGTTGCAGCACTGTATAACTACATACAACTGAAACACTAAGACTAAAATATGACACTCTGTTGACACACTTCTGCAACTGAAAGTTATCTTTGCTGAAACATGTCATTTACTAAGAATCAGCATGGGCATTTTTAACCACAAGCTGTCTGGTAGCCTAATGTTAACCATTAAGCTTCTACCCAACATTGAGTAAGCAAAGTCCCACTGTTATCTTTACAGTGTTCTATAGGCGCAGACATGACATCAGGAAAAGCACAGTGTGTTTAGACTGGATGACAGATCAGATGACAGATCAGATGAACTTGAACAATTGGGACAGTTTAACTGTTAAACTGGTTGTAAAGAAAAGACAAAAACAGTATGTCAGCATAATCTAACTTTATTCAGTTTTTCAATGATTTCGCATACATCTTAAATTATTTGAATGATTGGTTGACTAAAATTAGTATACAATAATCAAAATATCTGAAGATTCAAACCTCTGACACTGGAATGTAGGACA